GTCTACCGCTCGACTTTGTATGCGGCATAGTCCAGGTGAGTTTGGCGTACCACGAAACCCACCACGTACCTGCTAACTTTCCCAGACCGATTCAAAGTCAGCGAAGAAGGCGAAGTCAAATCTCGATTCGGCTTACGCATACCTCGGCGGCAACGCCTTCGGCCGCGACAGCAAGGGTCGCATCCAGAAGGACGACCAGGCTCTGTCTACTGACATGGCACAAGCTGGTCAGATGGAGCAAGAGTACACGGCGTACGTGTACTACGAGTTTGAGGTGCTATAAGATGTTGTTGAAATGGCAACGGCCGTTTGATGGGGGGGCAGCACGGCTGAGACTCATAGTTGGAGTTTGTAGATAGCTTTCCGCGAAAGCAGAATGAGAAACATGGCATATTTCATTTCCGTCGCTGCTGATCAACGTGCAGCGCAAATTTAGGACAGTCTGCAAGTTGTCCACATCAATCACATCTTCCGATGGCTCACTCCAGAATCTGGACCGCTACATCCCCTTCCAACCAACCAATCCATTGGACATGGCCCGGATACTCCCCTCAGTTTCACCGCCATACGCCCACTTCATAAATACTTTTCGATCAGCTGATATCTGAGCTGTGGTACCGGTAGAAACACGAGTTTGAACGCTTGGAAGAAGAGCGCATGCGATGAGGTGATGCTAGATTGAGTGAAGGAGTAGGTGTTGCGGAGTTAGCACTGTCAGATCCGATGTGGCTAGGGCGGTGGCAGAATCTTAGCGCGCCTGGCGTGAAAGTGCAACTTCTAGAAAAAAGTTACCCGCACCCAATCGCAATCCGACCAACACCGAATCGCCCACCATGCCGTCCACTCACAATGCGGAGAAGCCCTGGGATACCGATGACATCGACAAGTGGAAGGTACGTTCGCGCCAGAATTGCGCGCATGCAGGAAATCGCCTCTAACGCTCGCGCAGATCGAGCCCTTCAAGCCCGAAGACAACACGGCCGGCGCCTTCACCGACGAGTCCCGCTTCAGCACGCTTTTCCCCAAGTATCGCGAACAGTATCTGAAGGGATCATGGAAGTTTATCACGCAAGCGCTGCAGAAACAGGGTGTGGGCTGCGAGCTCAACTTGGTCGAGGGCTCCATGACGGTATGGACGACGCAAAAGACATACGACCCGGCGGCGATATTGAATGCGCGAGACCTGATCAAGCTGCTTGCGCGAAGCGTGCCGGCGCCGCAAGCAGTCAAGATTCTGGAGGATGAGGTGGCCATGGACATTATCAAGATACGGAATCTCGTCGGAAACAAAGATCGCTTCGTCAAGAGGCGGCAGCGCATATTGGGGCCCAATGGATCAACGCTGAAAGCGCTGGAGCTGCTTACGGAGACATACCTGCTGGTACAAGGAAACACAGTCGCGGCTATGGGTCCCTACAAAGGCCTCAAGCAAGTCAGGCGCATTGTCGAGGACACGATGCACAACATCCATCCCATTTACGCGATCAAGGAGCTCATGATCAAGAAGGAGCTCGCCAAGGTAGGCTCTACATGCGCAAGCTATACGAGAAACCCATACTAACTTTACCCAGGACCCCGAGCTAGTCAACGAGAGCTGGGACCGTTTCCTCCCCAACTTCAAGAAGCGCTCCCTCAGCAAACGCCGCGTACCCCACAAAGTCACCGACAAGACGAAGAAGACATACACGCCGTTCCCGCCGCCGCAGGAGAAGAGCAAGGTCGACCTGCAGATCGAGAGCGGAGAATACTTCCTGGGCAAGCATGCAAAGGAGAGGAAGGTGCAGGAAGAGCGGGAAGACAAGATGAAGGACAAGATGGACGCAAAGCGGAAAGAGAGAATGGCCGAATACGTTGCGCCCGAGGAAGATGGCGGGGAAAAGAAAAAGAAGAAACGGAAACGGGAAGAGGGCGAGGGCAAGGAGAAGAAGAAGAAGAAGCGCAGCTCCGAGGGCGAGGCTGCTTGATCTGTATAATGCGATGCGAGTTCGATGCGGCAGTGTCGCGTTGCTCGAAGTGGAGTATGGGCGCATTCCTTCTTGTTGGGAGAACGCCATAAAAGCATTGACAGGTGTTTAGGTTAGCTTGATAAGTTCAAAATACCCAATTCTGTATTACTACCATTACGTCTCGCTCAATTGACGCTTCTCGCGCTCAAGTAAGCCCACGGCTTGGCGCTCTATACTTAGCGATACATGCCAAACGTCTTGCGTCTCATCCGCTAACATGCCATCTTACGCAACTCGATTGCGCACGCTGTTCATCATGTTAACACGAACCCATATTATCAGGCTGGTCAGTTCTCGTATGCCCTTACCGGAGTCAACCCACAATGCGGAACCGTCTCATTTTCTTCGCCTACGCTGCACGCGTTGCGTCTTCGACGATACCTTGGCATCAACAATGCCGGCAACAAAGTCCACTCTACACCCTCTCTCTCCAAACCTCACTTGACGGATCCCAAGACTACGCATCCTGCCCCCCATCATCCCTCCTCTCAGACACAACAAATATTAATAAACAAAACTCACCCTACGCACCATGGTCCCACCAACCCCTCTGCACACCCCATCTCTCCGGGATAAATGACACGCTCTGCATCTACACAGACTCAACCTTCAGCCAAGGCCGCGGAATCTCAATCGTCACAACACCATCTCTAGCCCAGCAATTCGCCTCCTTACCCGCTTTCCTGGACCCCTCAGCCCTCACGTCCAAGGACATCAACGAACCAACCTCCGTCTACACCACAGCCCCCCTCCCCGGAAAAGGCATCGGCATGCTCGCCACGCGTCCCCTGAACTTCGGCGACGTAGTAACAAGCCACACCCCCGCTTTTATCGCATATCTGGAATCTGAGCTCTCGACGTTAGATCGCGAACAGCTCTGGCGTATGGCAATTGAGCAGTTACCCAGAGATTTAAGAGAGATGTTTCTGGGCTTGGCGACGGTATATGGGGATGAGAGGGTAAAGGTGCAGGATGTGGTTAAGGCGAATACGTTTCAGGTGGTGGTTGGGGGGGTGAATCATCTGGCGGTTTGGCCGGAGACGTCGAGGTTGAATCATGCTTGTAATCCGAGGTATGTTGTTCCTTTCACGCAGATCCATCAAGAGGAGATAGAGAGGAGAGAAACGGAGGGCATGCTGACGAGGCGGCAATAGTGCGCAATACGTTATCGACACCAACTTTTTGACGCACACGGTACGCGTTACACGACCGATTGATAAGGGTGAAGAGATCACGATATCATGTAAGCTTCCTCTTTTCTACGATGAGATTGCTCTGACTCCCGCAGATACCTCACCCCTCGAACCAACATCACAACGACAACAGCACCTCCAATCCGGCTTCCACTTCACATGCACCTGCCCCCGCTGCCAATCCCCGTCTTCCGACGCCACACTCTCCCACATCCACTCCCTGCAATCCCAACTCAACGACTGGAGTCCTACTTCCTCGGCTTCACCCGCCATGGCGGAAGGCCTGCTAACGATCTACCGCGGAGAAGGGCTGGAAGGCTTCATGGATGTGGCGTATGGGTTCGCGGCGTTGGCGTACAGCGCTGTTGGTGACACAGAAAAGACAATTGACTTTGCGAAGGAAGCGCAAGAGGCTATCTTGATGAAGGACGGGATGTGGACGGAAAACTGGAAGATTTGGGAGGAGTTGGTGGAGGATGTGGAGGGGCATTGGAGTTGGAGACGGAGACTTTAAAGGGCGTTGGATAGGGGTGAAGACAGCAAATTTAGATAACGTTGCTCGCTTTATATATAATCTCTGAGGATCTATCTTAAGCGAACGTAAAAAGAGAGATTAACAGGCAGGCCCGAGATAGTGTTTCCGGAGGTTGAGTTCGCGATAACGTACTCTAGATCAACCTACTAGACCTCCAGATAGAGTTTTTGACCTAGAATCCTCGCGAGAGATGGAAAAGAGCAAAAAGAAAGGACTTTAGTGGTCACTACGAGGGTCGAACTCGCGACCTTGGCGTTATTAGCACCACGCTCTAACCAACTGAGCTAAGCGACCGATGTTGTCTTGTAATTGGATGGAAAAATCTGGAAATACACAAACTCTATAGCAGATAAAATAAAGAATTATCACGAGCAGCCGCCTTCGTGCGAGGGCGAAGGGACGTCTGCAGGAAGGTGGGGTACTATAGATCGAAAAGCTTTGAAAGCATCTTCCGCCTTGTGCGTTCTTGTATCATTCCTCGTGTGTCCGAAGCAATGTTAGCCTTTCTTCTAACCATTCAAGCCAGGACACAACGGATAAGCCACCTAGCCATCTTTCGCATTCTTCTTCTTCTTAATCTTAACAGCCCTACGCAATTGCTCCTCGCGCTTTCGCGTAGTTCCTTTAGGATGTCTTTTAGGCTTAGAAAGCGACCACTATGTCTTCGATTTTGCTGCTTTATCGCTGGTACCGTCAGCTACACATAGTTAACATAGAAAATCCTCGTTCTTGATAGTCGAGTCGGTCTTATCAATCCAGCGCTTCACGAAGCCTTGCCACTCTTCATATGATCGAATGCCGTAAGGCGCCTTCGTATTGACTTGCGTCTTGGCGATAAAGACTCAAGCCGTTAGGGTTCGAAGGTGGCTTGTAAGGGCTGCAGAGAGACAAGATCCTTTTCGTTGACGCTGAGACTTAGTACGGGCTGGTTGAAGTAGACGCAGTATTTTTAGTTGACGTGGAGAACATTGACTTGATTGCAGCAGCTATCGAAATCCTACAGGCCGCACCGAAAGGTATAGTATAGTCTGTTCTAGAAGCTACTTAGGCGTTTCCTTGCTAAGAACGCCTTGTTCAGCTCTTGAACAGCAATAATACAATAAGCGTGTCTTTGATCGCCTTAGCCAAAGCTATGCTAACGTCTGGGTGTCAAGTCAAGCGCTGGTGTACTTCAGTCGCACGAAGAGCTTTGTACATCCAGTTCCGTTGCCTTCCCGCACCTACCCCATCCCGAAGACTCCCTCACTCATCTCTGACCGATCGGGATTACCTCCACTCGAATGTTCCTTTCCAAGCCCTCTTCAAACCGGATACATGCGACCTTCGGCGCAGCACATCCGCCGCAAGAATCGGTCCTGGCGCGTCTATCCCAAGCTCAACGCCTGTGCTAACTTCTTCGAAGCTCCCACGAAGCTCTTCAGTCGAATTGAGCCGTTGCATCTCGGGGTCTGAGTTATTCGCTGTATCGGGGTTAGGTGACACAGCGGCTGAAATACGATCTTGGAAGCTTGCAGAACCTTCCTCAACTGGACTGAGTCGTTGTATCTCCAGTGACGAGCCATCTGTATCATCCACTTTGGGTGATGTTGATCTGGTCTGTAAGCTTTCGCGACCCTGCTCAGTCGGATTGAGCCATTGCGACTCGGCTTCTACGCTACTTGTAGTAGCCAATGCGGGGAACACAAATGTGGTGGTTGAGCTATCCCGACGTGGGGGCTTCTCAACAATGCCGATCAAGCCTCCCACAGTCTGTAGAGCAGCGATATTGTCTTTGCTCACTGAACCGATGGCTGGAAGTACGCCGCGGCCATGCAGGCTTGCTCCAATTCGAGCTATAGCCATGGCGTCGAGTTGGTGAGTCCAGGACGGGATGCGATACAGGTAGTAAGTCAAATAACCCAATCCAAGTAACTGAAGGCCGATCAGAATTGATAGAACTACGACTGCCGTTTTCGAGAGGAAAGGTTTTTGAACAGCGGTACCCGGTGAAGCGTAGATCAAGCGTCCCGCCGGTGGAGCATTCGCAGGGCCAAATTCGGGGGATGCCAAGGTAAGGAAAGCCTGATTCGCCACAAACATGGCCGTGGTGAGCAGATTGTCTGGGTTGTTCAACGTTCGGTCTTTGCTAGCGGGCGCAAAAGCAGCGAGGAGGTGTTGCGTGGCGTACGAAAGATCGTCCCCTCCAATCCCCCAGTGGCCATCAACGAGAGACTCGTCAGCCGTCTTGCAGTCAGACGCAAAATTGGTGTCACCGGCTAAGCTATGATCTAGCACCATTCCAAGTTCCAAGAAAGGCATCCCACGGCAAAAAAGCTGCCATAAATTGTCGTTACCGTATTCGTTCTCCGATCGATAGTCAGCGGCTGTACTTAGCCACGAGCCATTTCCAAACAGAGCAAGCGCACTTGTCATTAGAGGGCCTGGTATGCCCCAGCCTTCGAAGTCGTAACCGATTTCGTATTGAGGAGTTGAAGTACGGCCTCCAAAAGAGGTATCTCTGCCAAGCGTTAGCATAACGCACAATCTGTGTCCATCTTACATACATATCCGAAGGGACGTAGGGCTTTACTGCTTCCCAGCTTGGTCCCCAACGACTAGTATCGGTCCAGTCGTTGAAGTCTTCCGCCATCTGTGCTGTATCTGGCCACCGTTCGAGAAGTGGGCCATATGTATTATGATTCCAGTTATTGCCCATCTCGAAATAGCCCCTTATCGTCGTCGCCGTGCAACGAATGCTATAACTAGTATCCCACATCAGGTTTGTCGAGTCAAAGTCATCGGCAATGCTTGTATCGTTGACGTCGATGTGTATTTCCTCGATGTGCTCCTGACGACCGCGGCTGAGATCCCACGGAAAGGCAGTGTAATCCCCAGGGACGCACATGCGCACTTTTGTGTCTAAGACGTCCCAGGACACAGTGAAGGGTTGATCGCCAGGACACTGTGATGGAAATTCGCTGGGGTCCACCTCTTGGCACTGGATGGAAGAACTGAGTCTCATAAGATGCTGGCGTAGCACTCCAGTTGTGGTTCCCGCCGGTACGCCTGCTACGAAGAAGTCGGGAACAGGATCTGTCTTGGAAGTTGAGTTGGAGTTGCGCTGAAAAACCCAGTGGTTCAACGAATCCGGTACAACGTCATCTCCGCTGAACTTGTCGTCTGCCGCTTTTTGTGTCGTGTTGGCGCTCCACAGACGCGGCTGCGACTCGTGGCCGGATATCGATGCTAGGCCCGAGGATACCCGAGACAGCATAACAGAGTACTCCGCATTAGCCATCTGTGCAGGTTCAAGGTCTCTTCCGACCTCTCCGTACAGCTGGCTACCCGTACAGTTCTCGAATCGATACCATGATGGAATGTCTCTGCACGTAACTACGGAAACCGTGCCTAAAGATGGGTGTACGAAGTCAGTACATGTCTCACATGCAGTTCGTACAGCGATGTTTCTTACTGACTCTAACCAGAATCTGGTACAAGGGTTGCTGTATAGCTCCAAGGACAATGAGGCAGGCTGCAGGTAGTAGGAATGCTGCGCTTGACTTCCCCCCTGGCATCGATGGTCGGGTGCGAATTGAACCCCAGATCGCGGATGCATTCGTCCATCCACGATCTGCCAACGCAAACATGTCTCTGAGACTGAGCGTTTCATCCGGTTTGCGTCTTTGGCAGAATAACACGGCTGCTTGAGCCAGCACTGCAGATAAAACTGGGACTAAATTTCACGACATAAAGTCAGTGTGAGTAGCTGATAGAGGATCATACTTATATTGACAAGAGTATTGGTCCAAGAAGAAGAAATAGGCATAATAAAGCAGCCGGTTGCCAGTGTCCAACGAAAGTGTAACATTGAAAATTGGTGTTACTTACTGGTTATCACCCCTGAGATGGCATTCAGTACGTCAACTGCGATCTTCCATTTGTGCATGTTTGAGACCTCGTGATTGAGAAAGCCTTGTTGGCGTACATAAGAACTTGCGTTGATCGGCCGATGCGCAAGCACGCATGTCAATACCCATGGAACGACAATGAGTAAGACGTAGAAGCCGAGAAGCCACAAGGCCCTGGTGCGATACCGCAGCGGTTGCACGGCATGTTTAGAGTCGCCTTTGTAGGGATCGTTTAGCTTTTCGTGGGTGTCATCCATTTTGTGAGTGGTCTGAGACGTCGATGTAAGGTCTCGCAATGAGCGCGACGAGCGCAGCGAGGGAACAGATAACGACGATTTCGAGGAACACCCCAAGGTGTGCGGCACGCCTTGTGTTTGAAGCATGTAAGCCTTGGCAAGGCTGAGCAGTTGGTAACCACACAGTCCACACTGTTGATTGGCCGAACAGGTTAATCGAGCTTACTTTGTGTAATGCATGCAAGCGCCACGGACGCGGCGCAGGATGCAGGAAGTCGACGATTCGCAGTGCAAAGCACAAAACCGCTTTGTTAAAAGCAGAAAATGACGTAAATTACGAATGTCTAGCGCACATCAACAAGAGCGTCTTAACTACGTATTAGCGTAACACAACCTCCAGAAAAGCAAACCCAGCCGTGGTATCATCAGCTCGCCGAAGCAACTGGCAACCCAATGAAACGCCGCGAACGAGAAACAAGTTGGATGAGTAAAACATTATGCACTATTTGCCGCCGAGCCGGAAGATGCGAAAGGGCGACTTTTGGTATCCGATATGCTACAGTCCAACAGACAGGACGGATGTGTATGTCGTTGAAGAGGTATATACGCCGAAGAAACGCCAATAGGTATGATACAGTACAAGAGAGATGCAGAATAGGTGATGAGATGGTGTGATGGGGGGTATCAAGGGGTCTAGGCTCCATGAGCCGACGTGACGTGACGTATGTAGCTTCTGCGACGGGAAGGGATGGATGGATGGAAGATGCACCGCTCTTATCGATCGACAGTCTTGCCGTCCCGATAGACGGCGAGTTCAAGGCCGAAAACGGACGGGGTACTCGGGGTACGTCTGTCCGGCGAAGTCGATAGGAGTCGATGAGACCGACGAGGGCTGTGTCATGGGCAGGAGCACAAGATCGGCTTCATGCATGGAGTCGGTCCATTGCACTTCCATCTTTCTTTGCTTCTCCCGGCCCGTCTCTACTAGTCACCTTTGTTGTCTGGCGTAGGAGCTTTCTTGCGAGGGCGAGAGGCGCGTGTCGTAGGGGAAGGAGGGTGAGTGCGGTTGTTGGATTGGGGGTGAGCGACGCAGCGAAGGCGAGTTGCGCATGTTGTCGGAGACCAGTGTCGCGGCTGCACTCTGGGTCAGTGGCGTTGAGGTCCCCGCGACGGGTGTTCCTTTTGAGGAGCCGCCGCTGCCTGAGGTCCGGTGCGCGGTTCGAACCGTCGATGGTGTCGCGGGAGAGCGGCCACCTGCTCCCTGCGGTGCCCGCGGGGTCGTGCTGGCACCGCTTTCGACACTGACATGTCGGTTTCGGGGTGTGGTATCGCGACTATCACTGTCTGCGCGCCGTCGTGGCGTCGACTTGGGCGTGGTCTCGTGGCCATTGCTTTCTTTTTGCCGTGGCACAGACTTGCTGGCTGTATTTGCTCGACTGCGTGTAGGCGGTGTTGAGTGCGCCTGGGTGGACGGGTCCGTAAGTGGTGGAGCCTCTGCTGCTCTTCTGCTGCTTTGCCGATTGGGGATCTTGGGAGGAGTGAGAGGTTTAGTTGCTGGCTCCGATCTGCCACCAGCTGCTTGTGGAGTATTTTGTGCAACAGGCTCGGGGCTCGCCATGCCTCCGACGCGTGGCGTACCTTCCCAGCTCTTGCGCTTCATCATGCGTCCCAGGATACCCACAAGCTCAGCAGCGTCCTCGAACTCAGTGTCATCCATTGCTTCTTGCGCGCGGTAGACATCTTTAATTGCGCGTCGAGCGACGCGCCGCGAGGCATCATGGTCGTGGACACAATCCCACAAGAACGCGCTGTGCTCGAGCGCGACCGACAAACGCAGTGGATGTGAGCCAGGAAGAAACGAGGTGGCGTACTGAGTGGCGGTGGTGAAGTACCCACTAGCTAACGGAACGAAGTTCAGGGGTGGGAGTATGAAGGAGGAAGGCTGCGGAATGGGAACCGGGTTGAGGCCCGGGGGCGCGTTGATCGTCGGTCCCGGTGATGGTGTTCCCACTGGCCCTCCAGCTGCATATGGGTTTGTGACGAAGGAAGTCTCGGACACGATGGAGTCGATGGGTTCGCGTAACGCTGGTTGTTTGCCTGCGCGCTTCGAAGGGGGTGACAGGCCCGGGGGGTCGGTCTTGCGACCATGTCCATTACTATGCTTTGGTGGTGATATCGGTAAAGGGGGAAGAGTAGGGTTGCGAGGATCAGTGCTTGTCATGTTCATTGTCGTGACGGGCGGTTGGTTGTGGAAGAGGCAGAAGATGTGGTAGAAGCTCGCGCGCAACTTGACGCTCAACACTCTGCACTCTGGCCCATGCTGGTTGTCCTGCGCATAGGGTAGCACGTAGAGCTCGAGTATAGACAGTCCCTCTCGAGACATCCAGAGGATATGTTGATAAGCCGAGAGCGAGGGAGTGTCTCGACTGGTGTCCAGCTTGCGAAGCTTCCGGGCGCGGATGAGTCTCCGGGCCAGGAGGACTGACAGACCCAGAATCTGATAGAGAGCGCTGGACAGGAAGGGACTTGTTTCTTCAGTCTGCTTGGCTATCCGACCAAGGAACTTCTGGTCAAAGTCCAGAGATGCCATGGTTCAGTGATGTAGTCTGGATGGTTCGTAAGTCAAAGCTGAGATGCAACAGGGGGAGAAGCGGATTGGTGATGGGTTTGGCAATGAAAACGACTCAGATGAATGCTTGCACCAAGTACAGGTTGATCGTGAAGTGAATGGTATTGCGCGATTCATGAAGCACTAACCTTAACCGCCAACCCGGACCGTTGCGCTGTATCCTCTGGAGATAGACACAGTGCAGCCCGGCCCAGGCTGACCGATGACACCGCGCGCTGATGCCGCGCTGGAGATGAGGCTCTGGCACCGGTGCAGCGCGTGCTGGCCAATTGATGTGTTTCGGTAGACGACGGGATGTCCGTGCGCGACCCTTGCGCGGGTGAAGGTCGATTCTCGTGATGGCCCAAGTGGGAAAGCGCTACTCGGAGATTTGTTGAATTAGGCGATTGCGATGGAGGCGAATATCATGACACAGCGTATAGATATACGTTGGTGAAGAGTGCTGGGCGCAGAAAGATGAAGCGGTGGAAGAAGCTCGTGGGTGCGCCACGGGTGATGAACTGTCTGGCCAACTGTCAGTCTTGCTTCCAGATCATGGGAAGCAGCAACGGCTCACCTCGATCGGGATATCTGGAAACGGATAGGGCGAGACGGTGTCGATGGTTAGGGCGAGTGCCGGTCTCTTATTCGACGGCGGGGGTGATGGCGGAGCCAATGGGCGGGCGCAAGAGGTGAGGCGCTGCGAGACCCTTTTGCGACAGGCTAGCAGACGTCAGACGTCAATTGCGCGGTGGATGTTGAGGGTGCGAGGCCGTGGACAGCGCATTCATGGCGACCAAGCCAGCTTTCCTCGTCCAGCGCGCACGAGGCAATGCGACCGTCTTAAGGGCCGTGACGTCGGCAGGCGGTGTGGCAGCGGTCAGTGCAGCTGTTTGGGACGCCGAGGAAGCGAAACTGGGCCGCGCACACTTGCAATGCCTCGAGATGCTTGGACTTGGGATAGCCGTTCGATCGCGCTCAGGGCAGGCGGCGGGGCGTCTTCTGGTGATGCGCAGACCCTTGCGCTCGGCCTGGTGTTGAGGAGCGGGCGGCCGTCGCGATGCGAAAATGACAACTTCACCAACGGCGCAAAAAGGAAATGGCAGGGCGAACGCTGAGGAAACGCATGCTAGTAGTAACCCGCGCACTCTATCCGGCCTGCTGGAGACGCAGGTGCAGCTCCTGCGTCAATCTGCAGACAGGCGAGCTATGGTGGGCTACGTGTCAAGCGTCGAACTCCTCCGCTAAACTGCTCACGTCGCTGCATGTCCTTTTTGCCGTTAATAGTTCAGACGGGGCGCTGCCAGCTGGCACGCAGGCTAGAGCTGCCTTCACTTATTCTCCTGCTCGACGTCAACGCCTCTCCAACACGCCCGCCTAAGAGCCTCGCCAACGCGCGCATGCACGCCTGTGCCTCGCCTGCAGTCTCAGATGAACCACACCGTTTGCCAGCGCATCGTTCCACGGCTGGGTGGGGTGCAGTATGCCATCATGCTACTTGTCCGTCTGCCGCAAGAGACGCTTCGACAGCCCTAACCATGGCGCTTCCAACTCCGCCACGGACAGCATGCGCTTGCGTTGTCACTCGGGCCCTCTACCCCACGGTGAGGACTAGCACGATGCATGCTGACGAGACACTGATGTAGACGGGCGTCCCTGGCATGTCAACATGTATCCTGCAGGCTTAGCAATATGCCCGAGTGGATCTCTCTGCGACTCCCAGCCTCGAAGGCGACATGGACCCGATACCTCCATTGGGAACCCTACCCACCATCTTTACATCCAAGAAACTAGCATCCATTGATAGATCCGAGCTATCGTCTCGTCATCTGCGGGATCTGGCGGCGTATCTGCATCGAAAGTCTCCACACGAATTGGCGGTGAGGCTGCATGCTCATTGGCTGGAATTTCGAAAATGCTGGCCTAATGTCGTCGGCAGCTAAGAGCACTACTGATAGCCAGCCTTCTTGATTTACGACCATGACGGCACTAGATTGTGTGTCTGAGCTTTTAGCTCCGCAACTTGGTAGAAACGCTCGAGATTCCAGCACCGTGTGACCGGGACATACCGAGGCAAGGTGGCCGCAAATCACGACGACGATTGCGCAAACTTCAACGGAACCAAACGTCGCAAGGAACGTCGGTTGATTTCCGACGGTACGGCGGGTTTGAGGGAAACATGAACAAGTGCGGCGATTTTCCGGTCCTCAAATCAAGCAAACTACCATGATGGCCGCCCCCGTGGCACCGTTCAGAAGAGCAAATCTCGCTATTGTCAGATCTGATGTTTGGTCATCTCTTAGTATGGCTATCTCCCGGCGAGTATAGGTTCGTGGGACTTGAGTAAGCCAAACAGTTGCTTCGTGCTCGCCTATCCGGAGCCGCCCGTCGCTGGTTGTGCGACGACACTGGCGCAGCACCCTCAGCATAGGTGCTGACTGCACTTGTTGAATGCTCACATCTCTCATCAACTTGCTTAGTACGACCTCAATGTCAACAGTCGACGACAAGCTGCGACCCATCTTGGAAAGTGGCTGTTGCGGGACTGGCATCCGCTTAGTCTTCGAAACGCCTTGCCGTGGTTGTAACCAGACGGATGAGTTTCTAATTGCTTGGTTGCTCGCGGATGTCAAACCGCGCAACTTGAGCAATAGATAGCAATCATACAATCATGAACCTATCAACGCATAGATCGTGGTATAAGAGCTGAGGCATACGACAGAGATGGCCACAACATCGGTCATCTGGACTTCTATCGAGCGTTCTCATCCGACACTTTCGTTCCAACAGTATCACACTGTCAATCATCTCAGCATACGTTCTTTTACTCCTTCATTGTTCAACCCAAACTCTATTCAAGGTAAGACACACCACAGGAGCTTGCCAAGGTCGCAGTGTTCTTTGGAAGAGTACCATTGGTGACCATGAAATAGACTTTGAGCCACACCATCTCGTCCACCATACAACGAGGCTATCCAACTTCACGGTCATTACCAACGTCACGCAAAACACAAACTCACAATGTGTTTCTACCACGCCTACTCCCACAAGTGCGGACACACCCAGATGATCTTCCAGCAAATGTGTCCCAAGGGCCAGATCTCGCAGCGAAAGTGCGCACGCGGCCACGATGGCGTAATCCTCGCTACCGTCAAGGTCGAGACGGCTTGTACTGTATGTCCGGGCTAGACGAGTTATAGAAGGAGGATCTTTACTTAGCCTACCCATGTTTTACGCTCACATGTATCCAACATCTTACTTGTTACTCCTCCCAACCACCTACATCGCAACTATTAGACTTACAAATACAAACATTCATAACCATCTTTCCAACTTCCATCTCAAAGTGACGTCCTCCAATCATCCACTTACGGGAGCGAAACGGCCCGCAGCGCTCTTTCCCAAATCGTCAAGGATGAAGCTTGAAGCACCTCCTCTCGCAAAAGGAAAGCCCTAGCACGCAGGTTAGCTACCCCACCATCCGGGCTGATCACGCCCACCACGATACCCACAGCGACCCGAGGGCAGATCTACGTTCGCGGATACCTTCCAAGACAAGGGTTCCTTTGCACATGCTCGCGTTCGGGTTCGAGGATGCTCTAGACTTTTGTGGTGGGCGATCGTCATGGTCGGGGTGTTTAGCCGAGGATAACGGAAGTCGCGATATGACAGCACCACAACCGCGACTGCGACGGCTGCGTCGCTCCTTCCTTACCATGACAACATTCTGGTTGCCCGTTCTGTATTGCTGATAGACACGACATCATGCGCCAAGCACTACCAGCGAGATGTTATCGCATCACGCAATCGTCGTAAACGACCATCAACAGCTCACGAAGACGCATCCAACTAACGATGCAAACTGCCTCTGCAATCTGCAACCTGCAATCCTAACCGAACCCAGCGATGATCATTTACACAAGGATAATTACTGCCAATTTTTCCATTGGTCGCACTCCCCTCGGCATCCAAACGTCCCGCGCCCCAACTCACGTCCTCGGTTGCAGATGCCCATCTGACAACCCATTTACCGTACAGAATACGGTCGCACGAATCGAGAGGGTTGCACCTTGATTGCGGCGCGTGATCATGGGTTTTGTATAGAAACAAAAAGGTGGTGGAGGTCTGCCTTGATGCTTCTTTTCGAACCTTTTTGCTCCTTGCTCCTTGCTCCTTGCTGCATCGGCTTCACCCTGCGACGACGGCACGGTATCCTGTGCGACATACATGCCACTGCCGCGAAATTGTTTGATTCGATACACTAGATACCCCTTGACAGGTTCCACATAGTTTACAGCGGCCCGCAGACGGCAAGTCCTCCCTGTGTTGAGCCGCGCCCGCTGCCGGCATGCAGGCGACCGATACTACGAAGATGGCGGATGGCGCAAGCACGATTGATGAGACTGCACAAGTACCTGAACGTTCTGAACCGAGATTGGAAGAACCAAAGGAGCATTTCGAGAATGTGTCCGCGAATGATGATACGACCGACCAAGCGCATACCCGCGATCCAGAAAAGACCACGCCACCCTCAGTATCATCACCAAACACCACCGACCCCTCACACCCAGATAAAGAGAAGAGCACAGCAGAAGTCATCGCAAAGGAAAAGACCGCCGATGACACAACCCCCGAAGACACAACCCCCTCCTCCGAATCACAATACCTCTCCGGCCCCAAACTCGCCATCCTAACCCTCGGCCTCTGCCTAACCACCTTCGTAATCGCCCTCGACAACACCATCATCGCAACCGCAATCCCCCGCATCACCACCGTCTTCAACAGCCTCGAAGATGTAGGCTGGTACGGATCGTCCTACCTGCTCACCACGACATCCCTCCAGCCCTCTTTCGGGAAAGTGTATACCTACTTCGATGTAAAGTATACGTATCTGTCTGCTTTGGTCCTGTTTGAGGTGGGCAGTGTCATTTGTGCCGCAGCGACTAGTTCGGCGATGTTTATTGTGGGCAGGGCGGTTGCGGGTGCGGGGGCGGCGGCGTTGTATTCGGGGGGTATGACGATTATTGGGTTTTCGGTGCCGTTGAGGAAGAGGGCTATTTATATTGCGGCGCTGTCGTCTATGTTCGGCATCGCATCTGTCGTTGGGCCGATCCTTGGTGGTGCGCTTACGGATCGAGCAAGCTGGAGATGGTGCTTCTGGATTAACCTTCCGTTCGGTGCTGTGTCGCTGGGCGTGGTGTTCTTCTTCTTTACGAATCCGAAAAGGATGTACTCGCATCTGCCGGTGAAGCAGCGGCTGAAGAATATTGACATCGTGGGGGCTGTGTTCTTGATCTGTGCGATTGTTTGTTTGCTGTTGTGTCTGCAGTGGGGTGGGTTTAGTTACTCGTGGAGTGACTCGAAGGTTTGGGGGACGCTGCTGGGCTTCGGACTGCTCATCTCTGTCTTCATCGGCTTGCAGATACGCAAGGGAGATCGGGCAACGATACCCGTTCGCGTGTTTACGCAGCGAACAGTGCTGGTCAGTTGCTTGTACTCAACATTACTATCCATGGCTCTGTACACGTAAGTCCTACCCCCATCCATCATCCACTCCTACAAGCTATCCCCTAACACCCAACCAGCCACATCTTCTACCTCCCCTTCTACTTCCAAGCCATCAAAGGCACCTCCGCCGAAGAATCCGGCATCCGCACCATCGCCTACCTCGTCAGCATAACCGTGTCCTCCATCGTAATCGGCGGCCTCATCACCCTCGTCGGCTGGTACGCCCCCTTCATGTGGTTCGGCAGCGCCATCTTCGCCATCGGCGCCGGCATGCTCTACACCCTCACCGTCCACTCCCCACCCGGCCAATGGATCGGCTACCAGATCCTTGCGGGTATCGGCGCAGGAGCCGGTGTGCAGATCCCGTTTGTCGCCGTGCAGGTTGTTACGAACGAGACGGATATGCCTACGGCCAATGCATGCGTTATGTTTTTTAATTCGCTGGGCGGCGCGCTTTCGATAAGTATTGCGCAGAATATCTTTGTTAATACGTTGGCGAAGGAGCTGCCGAGGTATGCGCCGGGGTTTGATGCGCGCATCGTGGCGAATGCTGGGGCGACGAATTTGAGGAATGTTGTGCCGGGGGATATCTTGCCGGGGGTACTGCATGGTTACAACAACGCGATCGTCACGGCTTTCATACTGGCGATTGCGACGAGTAGTGTGGCTTTCTTTGTTAGTCTGGGTATGGAGCAGAAGAGTGTCAAGGGGAAGAAGATCATGGCCGGTGGTGCGGCATAGAGATTTGTAGGTGATGTATACATCGTTTCATTTCTTGGTGGCAAGTTCTCGACTACACACAAGATCCCCCCCTCAACATCCCGCTCCTGGTACGCTGCCACTCCTGCGAAAAGCTCAACGACCAGACCACGAAGCGCAATCAAGCCATCCGCTCCATACGACCAACGAGCAGCTTCCTTATAGCCTTGTTCTCCTCCTTACTCAACGTCGCCAACATCTCACCCGTAATAGCCTCCTCATCCTCATCAGGCTTAACCTCCGCACACACACGCTCCATAAGCGCCATCTTATACCCGAGCAACTTCTCTTCCCCATCTACACCAGCACGATCACGACTCGCAAGTGACATATCTTCGGTGTTATCAGTTTTCAACGCCTCCATCTTCTTCTCCTCAAGAAAAAGGTTCCGCCTCTCTTCCTGCCTCTTCTCCAGGTTCGTAGCGTCGTCGTAGGCGGCTTGGAGGGTTTGCCAGGCCGAGTAGTCAGCGTCGGAACGGGTTTCCTCGTACCGCTTCTCCATTGCGTGGCGAAGTTTTGCTAGCTGGGCTATCTTGGACGCTTCGCCGCGGATCCAGGCTGAGCGGATGGGCTTCTGGGCGTCGAGACGGGCGCGGGCTTCGGGGCTGTGGTCGTACTGGCCTTGGATGGAAGATAGGGGTGGAGGCGGGATGGGTAGGTTTGAGCGGAGGGGTAGACGGGCTTGGAAGCTTGGAACGTGTGCGGAGTGCGGAGGTTCTGTAGAGGCTGGGGTGGCGAAGCCGGATGTCGAGGGCGCGGAGGTGGGCCATGTTGCGGTGGAGGATGTACGAAGCGGTTGGCCGAACGACTCAGATGAGGGCATGAAAGGCTTGCCGAATGACTGAGATGAGGGTACGAAGGGCTTGAAACCGCTGCTCGTGCGAGTCTCAGATGGTGATGGTGTGGCTAGAGGAGCTTCGCACACAATCGCATTAGACGGGCGATCAAGAGGCGTAGTTCCACATGTCTGACCATTACCAAACGGCGGGCGGTTGAGCGACTGAGATCCAGTGTCGAAGCCACTGTTACCACCACGTAAGCGATCAGTAGAGACCATGCCCACGAACTCCGGAGATTTGGGATCCCAGCTAATCCCATTGTTACTTCCACACATCTGAATACCCGCTGGGTTGTGGAAAGGCGGCCGAGTACGTCCATACATGCTAGGATGAATAGACGGCGGGCGAGTGGTAGCCGGTGGGATAGGCCAACCAGGCGCACCAACTCCACACATGCGAGTCGTCGACCCCGTGCTGATTTGGAACGGCATATGGTCGACGAAAGGATCAGTGTGCTTCCTCGCATGTCCAGACCCGTTACTGAACGGCGAACCACCCAAAGTCAAGTTCCCTTCGCCATCTATCTCAGCGCTGCGCGGGTATACGTCGAACATGGGCGAGTCGATCGAGCCGCTGGATGCGTAGCGCTGCACTGTAGGTGAATGTGGAGACGGGGTGTTCTGCCAGACATTCTTCGTATCCTTGTTGCTTGAGTTGTGCTTTCCGTACTTCATCTGATCGCTCGTGTGGAGACGTCCGTTCGGGACCGGTGAGAGCGACATGTCTCCAACGTCTCCCTCGTGGAGCTGCTCTCGCATACGTCCAGGACCTAGCGGCGACGGTATACCCGGTGAGCTTGACACTCTAGCATCGAGTCTTCGCTGATGCAGGTTCGGTCCGCGCGGTACGATCATCTCCTCGAAAGGCATGTTTCGTGGGATGGGGAATGTTGACTGCGGACGGGAGGGAACCTGAGTCTTGGCTATATTGGGGTTGGAATAGAAGCTGTCGGAGTTTCGTGCGATATCTTTCTGCAGCTGCGCAGGAGACCACCTCATGCTGTGGCTGGATGGAGTCTGGACCGGACCGCCGAACTCAGGTCGAAAAGGTGACTCGACCGCGACGCCGGCGAAGGACTGGCGCTGAGACAACGGTGAGATATCAGAACCTGAAGACGCGGAGCCATTCGTAGCACCCGTCTCTGATCTAGGAATGGCGACGTTGAGCGCCTGACCCCGGGCATACATATCACCAACCTGACCGAAGCGGCAGCCATGGTCCATCTTAACAGTAGTGTCGCTAGAAGGAGACTGGAAAGTGTCGTCACCCGGGCCACCGCTCATAGAGCCGTCAGACCAGGCTGGACTCCCTTGAAAGTCGTGGCCCCGAATGGTTGCGCTGTAGTTACAAAGGTCCTGGAAGGAGGGCAAGTTCATCGACTGGTTGAGTGCGCGCTGTGAGCTCTCCAATGCGCGATCCCATCTCTGCGCCTCAAGCTTGTTGAACGACAACTGTGTCTCGTCGATGTAGTCGTTTGAGCTGGAGCGCTCGGGTGGTGGTTGGCGACTCTCCATGGCTGTTGCGTGTAGTCGTGGTGAGCCGGTGTGTGGGAGAAAGATTGGTAGGCGCGGAAGTGAGAGAAGCTCAAGGTAAAAATGTTTGCGCGGTCATAGCTCAAAGTGAGAGTCGGCCAAATGCGAATGTGGCGGCGGAGCTGGTTGTTGTTGTGGTGAATGTGGATTGAGATAGTCACGGGGAGTGGTGAGCGAGCGTGGAAGGCAGTTTCGCGTCTCGGAGAAAGAGTACTTGCGCACAAGGTGCTTCGCGAGATACGTCAACATTAAGCGAAGTTTGCACACAGTCGGCTGCTCAGTTCTTGGAAAAACGATATTAATTATTGAAGAGACCCTCGTCAAATGGGTGTCATATGCAACTCGGAAGTCGTGAGTGGCTCGTCTACTCAGCATCGCTGCAGTACCATGGGAGGAAGTAGATGAATTGACCTTATCGATTATGGAGTCCACAATTTGCCGTCTTTGTCTCTAGCGACGTGCTCCAGCCCGGCATTGTGCCCTATCCGCCACTATAGTACCGTATACCGTGTTGTGTCGAGCCTGCCCAAGTGGTCATCAAACCGACCTCACAATACCGGATGAAAAGGCGGCGCAACACCCCCATCCTTCACCACCACCGGCCTCGCAGTCATCCCCAAAACCTTCCTCAGCCTCTGCGAAATACTCCCCTTCTTCTCCCCTTTCGCCTCCGCCCCACTTCCGTCTTTCACCTTCACCATCCCCTTCCCCTTGCCCTTCATCTTGAACTTCTTCCCCGACGCTCCTTTCCCATCCGAAACGTTGCGAACGGGCAAGCGAACGATAGGCTTACGCTGCTCCATCTCCTCTTGCTTCTCAGTTTCAGCCCTGCGCTCTTCCTCCAGGATATTCCACTCCTCCTCTAGAAACACCATAGTGTCAGTCTTCATCCGTTTCTCCTGCTTGGGCGCGAGGCTTGTCATATTGAACATGGCGAGGTATTCATCTAGGATTGTTGGCCACATGGCTTCCAGGAATGCTTCTTTCGCCTCTTCTCGCTGTATGTTGTTGTTGTCCGACTGTATAGCTTCCTCGGTGTTGGGAATGACGAGATGACCGTCTCCAACCCGATCAGCTCGTCGCGTCGCATTTTCTCTTCTCTGTCTCCGCGAGGGGCCATAGTGGACTGCAGGATTCCGCGTTTCTTCGAACCAGTACGGCTGCACGTTTCCAGTCACACTTCGTGCGAGATTGTACTCTGGGTCGCTGGCGATGCAGTTGAAGCCTCTGAGGTAGATGGTTGGGGCTGGTTGTGATGGCGATCGACGACCGGGAATTGTGGTTCGGCGTGAGGGTGCGAATGGTTGGAGAACATCTGAGGAGTCTTGGATCATGCCCGGGACTTCTGGCACCATGCTTGGTATCTCCGCCATTTCGACGCTGGTGAGTAGTATTGTCGGGTAAAGTTGTCTTTGTTGGAGCTTGATATCTTAATGTGCCTTGAACGTAGGAGATGAACAAGTAATGAGATGGAAGTGTAAGAAGATGGGGGAGAGAAAGGGTCCGAATTATCATGTGCAAATGCTTCGGTTACCCTGAGCCAAACCATGGTTCGGATACATCATACTAATACCACGCTTCTTGTTTTGTTGGGACTGGAGGGTACCTGCGTACTATGGATCCAGGGACGTCGCGGTTAGTCGTTGGATGTGTGTTCGTAAGCACAGGGTCTTGGCTGGCTGAGCAATAAATGAAGGGTTTTGATAGTGTAACGACACGTGAACAGAAACAGTCTGCAGCCATTAATGCGCATATCAGTAACGAAGTTCGAGTATACTGGCGCGATCAGCCTGCGTAATATTTCCCTATTTCACCTAGGTATCGCATGATTGTGTCAGTGATCTATGTCGGAAGGAATCATCGCGATTTCTCTCGACGTAAATCGCGATGATACCTTCCGACATAGATCACTGCCACAATCTCTCGTGCCAGGACCCTCGCACACTCTTTTCGGATCTACGCCAACTTCCCCGGTACAAAAGGCAGTCCCCCACTCAACCCCCCATCCACAGCCCAAGCCTGCGCATTAACATAGCTAGCCTCATCACTAGCCAGGAACAGCACCGCCCTCGCAATCTCATCCGGCTGCCCTCCTCTTTGCAGTGGATTCAACTGACCAATCTTCTTCTCGCTACCCCTCTTCCTCGCCGCGTCGTACGTGACCCTGGTCATCCCAGTTTCGATCAGCCCAGGGCAAACAGCGTTGCACCTGATGCCGGAGCCGGCGAGTTGGTATGCGCACGTCTGCATCAGACTGATGACTGCGGCTTTGGAGGCGGAGTAGTCTGTAGGTCCGGCGTTGGAGCGGAGACCTGCTACGCTTGCTGTGGCGATGATGCTGCCCTTTGGGTATGGTTTCTCATCCGAAGTCTTGAGCATAGCGCGCGATGCGTGTTTTGCGGCGAGGAAGACGGATAGAGCGTTGGTGCGTAGGACGTTCATGAAGCCTTCTGTGGACTCCTCCCAGAACACTTTGCCGGATGATATTCCTGCGTTGGCGAAGAAGACATCGAGACGGCCGTAGGTGTCTAGGGCTTCTTGGCAAACCTTTTGTACGGATGCCTCGTCTGCGGCATCGAATTGCCGGATGTGGACCTCGGTGGAGGGGTAGAGGGTGTTGAGTTGGCGCTTGTGTGTCTCGAGGTGGTTGTCGGCAAAGTCGCATACGTAGATTGCGCGGGCGCCGTTGCGCGCGAATTGATGCGCGCTTGCGCGGCCGATGCCTATCTCTGAGTTCGCGCCTGGTTATGCTGTTAGACTTGCCCTGCATATTTGATGTGCCAGGGAGATTGAGCATACCGGTAACGATGATGACCTTGTCCTTGACGCGTCTACTTCCCATTAGCACAAGCGCGTTCAACTACGACCCATGGACCCTCCCCATACTCACTGGCTGCCCTGATCCCCCGCGATCTCCCTGACACCCTTCAATCCCTCAAAAGTTTCCGGCTCGGGTAGAGGTTCGGCGAGCTCCTTGCTCACTCCCTGCCGCTGGACCTTTGCGAGTGCGGTCGGCATCGTGAAAGCTTCCTTTAAAGTCTTAAAATTGTTTCTGATGACTACTATAGCGTGTTGATAGAGCTTTCACAGTCGCGAGTGTGATGTATTCGTCAAATGGGTAGTAGAGCTTGCGGAGTTCGATGCGGAGGTTGCAGAATCCGGGGAAGATGCCGAGGCAACTCCAGTCGAGGCTGAGTGCCACAACGTCATCGGCGGAGCGATTCTTAGCTACAACCCGAGGTCCTCTTTGTAGCACTTCCACATACGACCAACAATCCTTTGCAACGCTGGATGAATTAGGCTCTCAAGCTTTGGGTACCTGGTGCCTATACGGCTTCGAGGAACGATACGTGCCGGCTCTACCTTCGCAGCCCTGGAGCTATGAACCCACGTCGCATCGGGCGTGAGCCTTTCAGCACGCATGTCGCATTCACGACAAACCAAGAGCTGGATCGCGGTGCGAAAGAAACAAGAGAACCTTGATATTGTATTCAGCAGGCGGAGACGTGTCCATGGGCGTTTCACGAGACCCATCCAGAATTCGCTTCTACTGGTCGTATATATGCTTCCCGGTCCGGCTTACCCAGGTACCATTGTCAAGCAACCAACCCAGATGAATGGCTCCACGTTCACGGCCACAATACGGAGGATGTCTACTTACTCTACCGCTCTTTGGCTTTCGCTTCATTCCAGACATCACCATACCCCATATTGCCTGAATAGGATTAGCAGGTTACCAAGCCCGTGTTGTTTCCCACTTACGAGTGACATTACGGACTTCCTGCTGTACCGAGTAGTACAGGTTCTCCATGGCCTCGACAGTCGATTCGGCGTCTTCACCCCTGAGCACTAGCTCCCATTCGGCTAATGATGCAGGTGCGGTATAGACGATAACTTCAGCGATGTAGCGCTCGTTCGGGGGCTTGAGTTCGCCGGAGTAGAGAACGGAGGTGATAACAGAGAAGGTGTATTGGGAAGTAGGGTACGAATGGCCGTACAGGGCGCGAACTTGGTCTACATGGTATATTAGTGGCGGCGAGTCGTACAAGAGCTAGGTACTGGTACCAAGAATCATGTTCTTGAGCAGCTCAATGGCCTTGAGAGAGTCTAGAAGCGAAGTCGTTGATAAAGTTGGTGCCATTGCGAGCAGTAGGTGATGATTGGAGGTAACGGATGACTGAGTTGTATGGAGTAAAAGGCTGAGTGTTGAACGCGTAGTCGTTTCAGGAAGTCTTGGTGGCCGCTAAGTGCTTGTGGAGGCGAAGGCAACCGAGCAAACGCATTGACGTAAGATAAGGTGAAGCAGCTCCTTATTGCTACATTGGGATATACCATAGCCGAGCTAGTCGCAGAGCCTTTCTACTTCGGCCATTCATTGGTGTTCGGAGCGATACTATCAAGAATGAAAACCGTTGTATTTAACTCCAGACCACCTCGTGAAGTGCTTCTCGTACCTAGATCACACGGCCTCGACACAAGAGAAGAGAAATCTGCCAAGCGTTTCTCGCCCATAGAACTAGCAAACTATATTTTGAAAACATTCGCTGGATCTAATAGATACTTGGAAGAAGCAGAACCGCCGTGCACAACTTCAGCACACCTAATAGAATGATTCTGCTTCCTAACGCCACTTCTCAGGAGAAGCTTTCGGATACATGTCTTTGATAGAGCTTAGTAACGAAGGAACAGAGTCATCTTCTATCTTCTCAATTAGGGCCATAACCATTCCGGCTTGCTTTGTCGCTAGTGGTAATTTCTTCCTGTGTTCTTCTGAGAGTAATATCCTCAGAGCCCCAATATTCTGCTGCTGTACAGCAATGAAAATAGGCTTTTCCCGCAGGGTTCCGTAACTGCCGATAACAAAGGAATCGTAGCGCATAATAATCTCCAATGCGCGGTCTTGATGGGACTTGATAGCAACACATAAAAGCTCGCATTCAAGTCCAAAGAACTCCTCTGCTTCCATCCTATAAAGTGCATTTCCTCTCGCTCTAGGTGGACTTGATCCCGGTACCAGTGCCTCTATAAACCCTCTAAGTACGGGGATAACAAGGTTCGTGTTTGGCTGCATAGCATCGGAAGACCTGTAGGCGATCGAACAGTACAAGTCTAGTAGATACTTCATCGCCTGCATACGACCATTGGCTATGGCTGAATGGAGCAGTTGCCTGAACAGATTCTTCTGACCCCACGAACCGTCAACTGCAAACAAGTTTATGTGCGTGAGAAGCTTGAGGATGTCTGATCTTCCAGGCGGTTGGAGCATGAGCCATAGTAGTCCGATTGCCTCTTCGTTGGTATGGACGATTATTGTGCCACTGCTCAGCATTCGCAACAGATTCTCTGAAGCAGCGCATGATACAGCAGGAAGTTCTGATAGATGTTGTAGAGCGTACATCTTTGCGTAATGTTGGAAGACGAAAATGTCCATGTCCGGATGTCTAGACGTCGTGAAGTTTTCAGCGATAGTATCCGAAGGATCGAAATTAGTCTGCTTTCGTGACCGCAATAGCTTCAAAGCCGTGACAGAAACTCCTTTGTTCGTACCCATCGTAGAGTCACTAATGTGGGCTGGCGGTGATCCCACGTTATTTAAAGGCAGGCGAACAGCAAGCTCCGTGCCAAATGTGCCGTAGCCAAGGTAGGTGATAAGGATCGATGACATCAGTGACTGGGCGTCCTCCATTGTGAAGTGGATCCCGCGAATCACTTCTGGGGTGGTGGAAGTTTCTTGGAGCAAGAACTGGTTCACACTCGGATGGACTGTACGGATCGTATGTTCCTCCTCGTCTACGGTGATCAGGCACCCACAGCTCGCTAGTGCTGGGTAAACACTGTTAAGAAGCTTAGAATGGTCCCACGTAGTGTCACCTGGGGCAACGCTTAGTGCTTCTCGCATTTCGGAAAGCGTGAGTGGCCGTCTCGCAGCCAATATAAGCTTGAATATATCCGATTGCGATGGCTGGTCAAGACACTTTGCTTGCTGCAGTATTTGGCTGTAGATCTGCGAAAGATCCTGGGGCAAGTTGGTAAGAGCTTTCCGAATGTCGTGATCGCTTTGCATCATGCAAAGCGATTGGATCTGGAGAGCGACCCAGAGAAACATGTGTTGTGAGCCTTCCAAAAGTGACTCCGTGATGTCAAGGATGATAGTGGGTTCACCCAGAATCAAGGATCCAGTCGATAAAGCGGTCTCCAGTTGCGCTACGACGTATGTTTCGATATCCGAAGCGTTATTGGGCAGCCTGGCAACAGTTGCTTTCGGGAAGTCGTTGGCGATAGACTGCAGCTCGGTATAAGGTTCTAGGCGGCGGGAAATGCAGACATGTACATTGAAATGCGCAGTCAAAAGTTCCAGTTGCTTCGTAACTGTCTTTCGTTCTAAGGGAGAACAGATTTCCAGGCCGTCAAGTATGATATACATGACATATTCGGAAGGAATGACGCGACGAATCAGACCAAGGAGTTGAGAGAGATTGTATGTATCCAAGACATGAGATTCATCGAAGAGATGTAGGAGTGGGCTGATAATCTGGCGTACGAGTGCACCCATCACCGTTCTTGCAAATTTGCTCTCGGCACAATCGTGTCGGCAGAAGAAATATGCGAGTCCAGAAACCTTAGGGTCGATACGCAAGTTGAGATCATCCACAATATTCGCAAGCGTGACAGATTTCCCATATCCAAGTTTCTCAACCAGAACCAGGGTCTCTGAAGCTGGTGCCACTATCCATCGGTTGTACTCAGGTAATTGCTTATACAAGCAAGTGTTACCAGCTTTGCGGATCTGTCTCCATGGGGTTTCGTAGTCGTAGGTTGAACAGCGATTCCGAATCTTCCGAAGATCATTATGCCTTTGCTGTTCAGAAACTTTGTTAAAGCTGGAGCTCATCAGTGCTCTGAAGCCCGAATTACTCTTGGCTTCTGTTTCGACCGTTTGTGCAACAAGGGTCGTGATCTCTTCTTGAATCGACTTCGACCAAGCTATGAGACTGGATCGCAGTTCTTTGATATCACTATCATTGAGTGAAGATGTGAATCTGCCCAAAGCAGACTTCTGGGCATACCGGTGGAAACGGAGACATATCTGTACCACAACAATGAAGAACTCGATGACGTTGGTTTGCAGAGTCTTTGAGCGAGGGTATAGCACTGCCAGATCTGAGTGCTGTTGAGTCGAGTGGCCAGCTTCCATAAGAAGGGAAGACAAACTTTCGATGTACGCTGAATGAGTAGTAGCCGCCTAAAGTCATCATTCGGTTAGATTGATCCATGTAATGCAAGAAGAGATGAGGAGTGGGTTCTTGTGCCTCGACGGCAGATCAGAATTTGAATCCATAAGCAACGCGGATGTACAACGCGGACACGTACCAGTAAACTCATCCGTATCACTGTCCATACACCACAAGCCATGACATTCTGGGAACTGCCTACAACCACATCTCCAATAGCAGCAAACTGTTGCGCTCCATGGAGAAACTTAGAAAACCGAGGTCCAAAGCAACGCTCTCCCACTTTCCGCGAAGCGTCAATCCCTGCGGTGATTCGCATAACGTCCTTGGTGCCAGGAGGCGACTTGACTGTTTGTTCCTGCTGGGCCCGAAACGTGAGCTTTTGTTCGTCCGAAAGTATTGCTTCGAACTGTTTCAAGGCTTGATCCAGTCGGATCTCGGGCTTCAGAGGAGCCGCGGCGGCGAGGTTGAGGGCCATGGTGTTATTGAAGAGACGAGACGCGTGTGGGAAGAGATGGCGTGGGGGTTACAAGTATTCAGAATAGACGCGAGCGTCCGATATTCCGCTGCAGACCTCCAAGAATCGTACCCGAGGGCGTGAAGATATATACTGCGGCAATAGTCACCACCTTAGTTAGGTTGAGGCCAGTCCTGCATCATTCAGCCCTCAGCCGCATGGAGGCGCTGATTAGCCTCCACAACGAGGCGGGGTAACCACATCCTCGTGCCTTTTCTTTTGCTGTGCTCACGAGCCATATTGTCGAGGTGAAATTGGAGAAGATCCTGGAGTATGCGTGTGCGAAGGTCTGGATGGAAGGAGCCGTGGGGAGACAGCGTGAAGACCCGAATGACTGAGGTCACCAAGGGAGGACTCTCTGTGATACGATTCACAAGGTGTGTCTCGGTTCGATATAGCGACAGTCGGAAGCATGCCAGCGGTTCAGCCTTGATCCATGCTGGGGAGAGTGGTGGCTGGTCATGGACGCGTCTCGATCAAGAACGAAGTGCGCTATCGATAAGACCCAAGCACGTGCCACCGCGACCCTCGGTTTTCGGCGCAAACCATCATCGCAACCTAAACATTTCTGCCTCCAACCCTCACACCACACCAAACCACACCTCATATCTCACACCCTCCCTCAACTTCACCCACCGTCCAGCCCCCTCTCGCAACCAAATCTCACGCACCATCACCACCGCCCAAAATGTCCACGGCCTACAACCCCCAGCAAACCACGGACCCAGCAACCGTCAGCCAAATCGACGCAACGGCGCGCACTGTGCACTACAAGTGCGGCGACTGCGACATGGACGTGCCGCTGAAGCGCGGAGAGCCGATTCGGTGCAGGAACTGTGGGCATCGTGTGCTTTATAAGCAGAGGACGAACCGGTAAGTGATTTTGGTTATCTTGGAGGGAGGGAGCGGGAGGAGCGGGAAGAGAGTAGGGTTGGCGCAGAGATCTGGAGAGGAGAGAGGAACGAGAGGAATCGCGCGACAAACCAGGCTCAGAAAAAGAAGAGCGCGAAGGAGGAAGGCTGGAGGCTTCAAGAAGGCGTCAAGCACGACGCAGCACAAAGACGAAAGCCATACAGCAGATCTTACACGAACAACCTCACTGACATAACTTCTAGTATGGTTCAATTCGAGGCCCGATGAACGCGCACCTCCCCAACTCTTTCAGCGAAACAATACTACACGGCGGAACGGCGAAGCGGCAACACGGATAAAAGTCTAGCGATCCCAGGACATGGAAAAGCGAACACGCAGGGGGCGGGAGATCTAGCGACGGGGCTTTTCACACATGACAGCGACATCTGCACAAGGAGGAATACGAGCGAGAGGAGACATGTCAACTTCACATCTCAGAAGGCATTAGTACAGGAGTTTTCAATTTGGATATTTGGCCGCAAGTTGCATGCAGTATGGAGATAATAGCAGCAATTCCCAGACTTGAACCCTGAAATGCATACCAGCCACCATGACTCCGCACACACCATTCATCCCCTTCTTCCATTGTGACCTCCAAATCTCAACAAGGCAGAGAATCAAAAGAGCATGACAACCCATTGCTCCATTCACGCGCTGTGCGCAAAGATTTATGTAGTATATGGTTATGATATGATGTGACAGTGGTGCCAGCCAGGACACTTTCCTTCTTCCCTTCCCATTCCAGGCTTCATGCTATCAAACAAGGGAACGACTTCGAGACAGACAGACGGAAAGCGAAAGTTCTCGACCCCAGAAATTCCGACCCTCCCTCCCTAAACACCCCCATCCCTCTTCCTTCATCAACCCTTCCAGCAAAATACCAATCTACGACCCACGGAACGCGTCAAAGCGCTTATACGTGTACCCAATGAAGGGCAGACTGGTTGCGTACTCGTCTTCGTTTGCCTGTGCGGCCTGCGCTCTGTGAGCAGCCGAGGTATCATTTTGGTCAATCTCGTCGATGGGGAAGTATTGAGTATCAATGTTGGACTGCAGTTTGGGTTCGAAGGGCGCGCGGATACGGCGGAGACCGTCCCAGGAGACGCCGCGGAAGAAGGGGTGCTGTTTGATTTCGTTGGCGCCGCCGATGCGACCGAGGCGGTGTTCGGCGTCACAGATGAGCCTGGACATGTATGTTAGTTACTGGGATGGTCGGGAGCAATGTGCGGCGTAGAGGCGCTTACCGTCGGACAAAGTCTTCAGCTTCGGCGCCGAGTTGCTGGTCGGGAGGGAAGTGCAGGTTACGCGGCCAGTCGACAATCTTGCGGTACGTGTCGTGTGGCTCCTCAGCGCAGAACGGCGGCCAGCCGATCAGACACTCGAACATGATTGTGCCTACCGACCACCAATCACAGCTGTAGTCGTAACCTTGACCGCTGAAGATCTCCGGCGCGATGTAGTCGGGTGTACCGACGGTCGAGTAGGCGAGCTGTCGACGAGATTTACGCCATGTGTTGATTTGGGTACGGTTGCTGACAGTCAGTTGAATCTGGTCCAGGTTCATTGATTGTCGGTTGTCGCGGTTCGACTTGTGTGCGCCGCCGGCGAGCAGCTTCTTGTAGTAGTTGGCATCGTGCTCCTTGTGGAAGCCTGTCGACAGACCGAAATCTGTCAACTTGATGTGGCCGCCTCGGTCGAGAAGGATGTTGTCGGGCTTGATGTCACTGGGAGAATTAGAGCCTTGTCTCGGCGCGACTACTGAATACATACCGGTGTATGAAACCAAGCTTGTGGACGGCCTCTATCGCGAGCGTGATCTCGGCCATGTAGAAACGTGTAATGTCTTCAGTGAAGATTTCGTACTTGATCAGCATCGTCATCAAGTCACCACCTGGCAGGAACTCCATTAGCATGTAGAGGAAAGTGTTGTCCTGGAAGGTTGTGTGCAGCTTGACGACCCATGGACTGTCGGATTCGGCGAGAATGTCACGTTCTGACCGTACGTGGGCCAACTGGTCTTTCTTGAACTGTGGCGTGTGAGCTGAATGCTGCAGGTGGGTATCGAATGAGGACTGCGTACCATCTCCTGCTTCACAAGTGACTTGAGCGCGTAGATCTTGCCGTCGTTGCGCCGTTGCACCAGCTTGACCTCTCCGAACGCACCCTTACCGATAATCTTCAGTGTCGAGAAGTTTTCGGGCTTCTCCTTTGTCCGTAAGAAACGTAGGTATTCAACTTCGGCACGGCGCATGCTGTCCTCCTTGGACCGTTTTCGGCTGTCGGAGATGGATGTCTCCTTCATAAGGGCATCGAGTTCGAGAGCTCTGCAACGAGGTCAGTAATGCTCGGCGAATAGTCTGGAGATCCCACCTTTGATTCCGGTCGCGAGCTCGCTGGACGCTGTCCTTGAAGAATGTATTGATGAGACTCTTGGACACCATAGCCTGTTTGTCTACATTCTCCGTGTACTTGGTGGGGTTTCGTTGCGGCGCCTCTTCATCGTACAGTGAGGGCTGTCGGGGCCCCGAGCTGCCACCCTGGCTTCCGTAGCCGTAGCCTCCTCTGTTGTCTGCGGTGCGAGGGCGTCCAGGGTTCGGCGAGGCTTGTCGGCCGTAGGGGCTTCCAGAGCGACCGCTGCCCCCAAGGTGTTGGTGCGACAGTTGTTGGGCGAGGCCATTGGCGCTCTGGTCGAAGCGCTGGCTGCCTGGCGCCTGGAGGTTGCCCTGCTGCCCTTGGTATTGTGCCTGCTGGTAGGGATTCATAAAGTAGCCTCCGCCCCCGTTGTAGCCATTGCCCTGTTGCTGCTGCTGGGCGCCCCAGACTTCCTGCTGGCCGGCCTGGTTGGGGTATACAGGTTGCGGGAACGTCGAGGGTGTCGTCGGGAATGCTCTGCCGACTTCCTGCTGGTACTGCTGGTTGTTTCGGTCACCGCCGCCGAAGCCAAAGTTGAGTTGCAGGCGGTTGCCTTGCTGGTTGTTGTTCATCGTGGCGGCCGCAATCGCTTCGGAGGGGAAGTCGGTGTAGTCGTGGTGGATGTTGGGTGTCAAGCAGCGGAGGAACACCAAGTCTGAGTCTGGGCGGTGGAGACGGCTGGATTAGGAACAGTGACAATGCCGCTCTCTCACGGGCGTCTTAGCGGTCCACGGCGACTGCAGAGGATTCTTCAGTGCGGCGCTGGCAAGGAGAGGGAGGTGCTGGGGAGTGCCGCAGTAGCTCGGTCAGGGATAACAACTTTAGGGCGAGCTGGGACCACCGGGCGGGGAACTGTGCCAGCAACCCAACTCATGTTTCAGACGATTCGGAGGAGCGCAAGTTAGGAGCGCATCTCGATACTCCTACATATCTAGGTAGATACTACCGTAGTTCACAGTGAAGATGAGGCTCCCTCCACCGCCCGACCACCTCCCCCACCCACCCTCTGTGCCAGCAGCCCAACTCACGTTTCAGCCGGACTCGGAGGAGCGCAAGTTAGGAATGCATCCCAATACATACCTGGGTCAACGATGTTCTTGCAGTTTAGTCAACACGACGAGACGTTGTCCAACGCCCCTCCGCCTCCGCTCCTCTCCACCCACCCTTATGCCAACAACTTCCGCGTCTCAGACACACCCGGCCGGGTTGAAGGCTTGAAGCATGTGCTCGCCCATATTGACCATTCACCTTGCTTGTGCCGCCTGTCCGAAACGGATCAGGAAGGTACGGATCCGACATCCTGTCAAGCCGTTACTGTACCCCGGGACTCGAAATAACGGGCCTATCGATAGCGAGCCTCCAGCCCAAAGAGGAGCACGTTACACAAAACAAAAGCAGCCACACGAGGAAGCAGCGTGGTTAAGCGACATCAACGTAACAGTGCAACATCGGGTAACAAATTCTTCGGTACAAGCACGTTGTCATTCAATAGTTCGCAAGTGATGTAACACGTCCAACCATCATCCATTATACCATATACAATACAATCCCCATCGCAATTCGCTAAGCGAGGGTTGCATAGTAGCAATCCAAAAGAACGAGCCCGAGATCTCAACAAAGTCCGCCATGCAAAGGTTTGTGTAGCGCTGAGAAAACGCTGTTAACCATCGACGGGTATAAAACATTGACGACAAAAAAAGCTCGTCTGTCAAACAAAAGTGTGTTCCGGTCGGTTGGGGGACCGGAAAAGTATACTAAGACAATATTGAAGGGTGAAAGTAAAGTGTAGTATGCGTAGGATCGTGAGGCCCATGTAAATGCGGGAGCTGGGTAAAACGCCGAAGATGTAAAAAGGTTGTCCCAAAGACGATACGGTGGTATCGAGGATTTTGTCGAAAAGAAGGTATTATGTATAGCTGTTGGGTCCAGCGGGTGTCGGTACGATCATTATGCGGTCGTGGCCATTAGAGCCTTGACCTTTTCGCGCTCGGCGACGATCTCGGCTTGCAGTTTGCGTGTCTGCCTCATAGCCTCATCCCTAGAAATTTGTTAGTACACAGTTGATATGCAACGTATTGGATTGACATACCTCTCGAATTGCAGGTCAGCAACCTCCATCTGAGCAGTGTTCATGCGGCCAACGACTTCCTCCATCTCGTGATCGGCATCGCGAAGAGCCCTCTCGAGCTCCTCTACGCGCTTCTCAAGCGATTCGGTCTTGGTGGCTTCAGCTAAGCTCATGGCGGGTCCGCTTGAAGTCACGTCGAGACGAGGAGACCGTTGCGAGAAGACAGGGGACGATGGAAGCCTGGGAGAGAACGCCGAAGGACTGAGGAGTCCGGACTTGACACGGCGCAGGTGGTTGGTGTGGCTCTCCTTGATAGCCTGGACCTCGTCTTCGTGACGCGCGACAGCGTCTTCTGAAGACTGTTGGGCGAGCATGACCTTGTCTTCTGCTGCCTTGAGCCTCTTCTCCAGCTGGATGATTTGCTCTGTTGACCTGCGTTGGTCCTGTTCTCCGCGCATGATCGCGTCAGTGAGACGTTTGCGCAGAGCGCTGTTGGCAGTGAGTTGCTGCTGGATCTTAGCAGAGAGCTCGTCCATGCGGGTGGCTGCAGCGAACAGCTCCTTGCTAAGCTCCTGTTCTCTGCCCAAGTGTTCGATCTCGGACTGTTGAAGGGCACGAGCCTGTTTGCGGTACTGCTCGGCTTCGTTCTGCGCATAATCGCGCTCTGCCTCTGCATCGGAAATGCTCTGTTTCAAGAGGTCCAAAGTTCGTTCAGCTTCGGCACCAGCAGCGCCGAGTGCATCTCCGT